ATTTCGTGTGATTGGTGTTTTGCCTACATGTATGTCTGTGTGAGGGTGGATCCCCTGGAACTGGCGTTACAGATGGTTGTGAGCTGCCATGTTGATGCTGGGAATTGAACCTGGGTCCTCTGGAAGAGCAGCCAGGGCTCTTAATTGCTGAGCTTCCTCTCCAACTCCCCTTAATTCTTTTTAAAATTTATTTATTTCTATTTTATGTATGAGTTAATTTAATTTTTTTTGTTTGTTTCTCTGTGTAACAGTCCTGGCTGTTCTGGAATTTGCTCTGTAGACCAGGCTGACTTCAAATTTACAGAGATCCGCCTGCCTCTGCCTCCCAAGTGCTGGGATAAAAGACATGCACCACCACTGCCTGGCCAAGTTAATTTAATTCTTAACCTTGATGGTCATTAGACAATATTCCCTGACCCACTTTTATCCTCTATTTCCTGCTTGTTTCACTATTTTTTTCTTTGTGTGTGTGTGTGTGTGTGTGCAGTTTGAGCATCATTTAGCTCTGTTTGCATTTAGCTCTGCTTGCTCTTTGGAGTTCTGAATCTGTGTTTATATCCATCACTCTTTTGGGGCACTTCTCAGTCATTGCTTCAAACACCTCATCCTCTGTTCTCTGTGAATATGTGCTGCATGAATTTTTTCTGGGGAGATGAAACATCATCTCTTTATTCCAAATAGGACAGCAATGACAGACCAAAGTAATAATTCTATCCAAGTCTAGTTTGGCGAATTGGTGGGTTTTTACTCACAGGAATGACCCCCAAAGAGCATGTCACCAAAAAGACTCTTCCTGGCATGAAGGACAACTCTTCCACAGCTATGTAGAGGGAGTCTCTTTTCAGTTAGCCTCCTATGTTCTATACTGTCATCTCCAAAGACCACGCTCAGCTGTGGCAGAATTTGCACAGCTAGGAGGGAGGCACAGGAGGGCGTGGCCAGACTCTCAGGTGAGAGCTGAGGCTCTCAGGACTCTTCCCACCACTCCATTCCCTGGAGGAATGCGAACAGCCACCCAGTGACGCTTATGGCAAGCCGCTCCGGTTAAAATGGTGATGGCTGTTCTCAGAGGACAGCATTTCACACTCGTATGCTATACCTTTGTAGTCTGACACTTCTTGGGTAGTACATCTTTTTCACTTTTGTTTATTGTTTGCATTCATTTTGGAAATATATTAGCTTATTAGCTTTTTAGACAAGTTCTTTTTGGAGATAGGGTTTCTTTGAATATCAGCCCTAGGTATCCTGAAACTAACTCTGTAAACCAGGCTGACCTCAAACTCACAGAGAACCACCTGCCTCTGCCTCCCGAATGCTGTGATTAAAGGTGTGCACCACCATCACCAGGCTTAGCCAGTTCATTCATATATATATATATTAGCCTCAAACTTGCTATGAGGCAAGATGTCCTTGAACTTTACCTCCTGCCCTTACCTTCCAAGTGCTGAGATTACAATATTCACCAGCACTCTTGACTTTGGTGGTGCTGGTGTTTTATGCATGCTGAGTAAGTACTCATCCACCTGAGCTATATCCTAAGCCCTAGTTTTGGATATTTCCATTGACAGCTATTTTTTTTCACACTCAATGGTGGTCCAGTCAGTTGAGGAGACTAGGCACTCTCTGTTCCTGTAACAGTGCTGTTTCCTTTGGTTATTTCTTAGAATTTCCTCTCTCTGTTCATATTCCTTGTCCACATTTCCTGTTAGAGGTCAGAGTACACTGGCCACAGTTTGAAAGTTTTCAGTATAATAATTCCACTATATCTCCTGCATCTGAGACTGGTTCTGATGCTTGTCTGCCAATTCAAACATTGTGTGTGTGTTTTGTTTTTCTCTTAGTGTTCCAAATAATTTTCTGTGGAACTTAAGATGTGTGAATTAAACAAACTGAGGAAATCAGTCTTTAGTGTAAGGTTTTTGTGTTTATTTGCCCAGAGGTTAGGCTCTGTCTACTGTCCACTGTAGCTGTAGATATTACAGACTAAAATTCCTCTAGTACCTTTTTAAAAATATTTATTTATTTTTCTTATGTATATGAGTACTCTCTGTGCATGTATGCCTTGATGCAAGAAGAAGGCATCAATCTCACTACAGATGGTTGTTATCCACCATGTGGGTGGTGGGAATTGAACTCAGGACCTAGTGTTCCTCTAGTACCTTTTAATTATTGGCACATCTCTTGTCTGATGTTCTTTTAGATTTTGTTTTTGTTGTTTTCGTTTCTGTTTCTTTTCAAAGATTTTGTGTGTAGTAGTGTTTTGTCTGCATGTATATATGTGCACCATGTGCATGCCTAGTGTTCATGGAGGCCAGAAGAGGGGGTCTCATTCTCTTTTTTTTTTCTTTAAATATTTATTTATTTAGTATGTATATAACATTTTGTCTGTGTGTATGCCTGCAGGCCAGAAGAGGGCACCAGACTCCATTACAGATGGCTGTGAGCCACCATGTGGTTTGCTGGGAATTGAACTCAGGACCTTTGGAAGAGCAGGCAATGCTCTTAACCACTGAGCCATCTCTCCAGCCCCAGGGTGTCTCATTCTTTGAGCTGACATGTGGGTGCTGGGAACCAAGCCTTAATCTTTTGCAAGAGCTGCAAACGGTCTTTTTTTTCCTTGTTTTCGGCGGTATCATGGGTCCCAGGAGCAATACACAGCAATGCTTTTGCCCACTGGGTCTTCCCACCAGCCGAGACCTTTTGTGATTAAGCTGGGACGCTGAGAGGGTAGGGTAGGGGAACATTCTATTGTCCTCCATTAGGTAGGTGTCTTTTAGAGTTTGTGCTAAAGTCTAAGAAACACTCTGTTTCTTAGGCCCATATATCCTTGTCTTCTTACAAGGAATACAGGAAAGTCAAAGTAGGCTGGAGTTGAGTGCCTCTTGTAAAGGGTGGGAGGAATTAGAGCTAGGAGGAATTAGAGCTAGAAACTTTCCCGTTTCTAGATTAACTAAGCTTTTAGTGACCTGAGTTAGTCTTTCCCTTCTTCCTCCCTCCCTTCCTC